GCCACGCCGCCCCGTGGGCCACGCCGCCCCGTGGGCCACGCCGCCCCATGGGCCAGCAGGAAACAGGAACCCCAAACCAGATGTGGGACTTTCTGTAACCACAGGGAAATGTTTTTAAGTAATGTAAAGAAAAGTTGGACCTGTGATCAGAAGGTTGCAGGTTTGACCCCCCCCCCCCCCCCCGAACCAACAACATCAAAATGCGGGTGTGAAACGTGAAACACTTACACCTGCCTCCACCCTCATTTGCCCCACTCTGGATCCTTGAGCAAGGTCCTTAACCCTCACCATCTGCTCCCCCGGCCACCCTATATGGCAGCTCTGCTCCATTCAGAGGGCTGTGGTAGCTCGGTGCTCTGTGGTTGCATCAGGAAGGGCATCCTGCGTAAAAATAATAATAAAAGTCTTTGTGCGAGTTAGTTTGCTGTGGCGACCACTAAAGAAGGGAGCAGCTGAAAGAAGAAAAAAAATATATAATTTTGTTTTAGTAAACTGAACAATGGATCCAATTCCAGAAAGGACTTCAGGTCTGGATCTGGATTGAAGTGGGTCAGTTGAGAATATTGAGCTCCACTCTTGTTTTATTACCTGTGAATGTGTGGGGTTTGTCTCATGTCCCATGATGCTGTGCAGCAGCTCAGGTGAGAGCAGGTCATGTGATCTTGTCTATGTTTTGTGTATGGAGGCTGAGGTGGCGAGGGACAGTCAGCAGAGTCCAATGGTCCAGAGGAACAGCTCATTCGCCACATCCCATGAAGTGTGGAAGTACATCTGTGAGCTGGGGATCAGTAAGGTGACCAATCACATGCCCTACTCTCAGCTGCTGAACTGCATGTGGGCGGGGCCTGACAGGTGTGTGTCTGCAGGTGGATCTGTCTATGGACGACATTGAGACCATCCTCAACACGCTGATCTACGACGGAAAGGTGGAGATGACAGTGATTGCTGCCAAGGAGGGGACGGTGGGCAGCGTAGATGGACAGATGAAACTGTATCGGGGAGTGAACCCAGTCCTGCAGCCCACCGGTCTTGTCAAGACGCCCTGCGGACTCTGCCCGGTAACCACACACACGTACACACCTGCTACCACTCTGCTGGCCTCACCTGAGCTCACTCGTACTCTCTGCAGGTGTTTGACGACTGTCACGAGGGAGGGGAGATCTCTCCGTCAAGCTGCGCCTACATGATGGAGTGGCTGGACATCTGACGGAGTGGCTGGACCTCTGATGGAGTGGTTGGACCTCTGACGGAGTGGTTGGACCTCTGACGGAGTGGTTGGACCTCTGACGGAGTGGTTGGACATGTGACAGAGTGGTTGGACATGTGACAGAGTGGTTGGACATGTGACAGAGTGGTTGGACCTCTGTTGGAGCGATTGGAAATGTGACGGAGGGGTTGGACTTCTGACGGAGTGGCTGGATCTGTGACAGCTGCTTATCCTTTTGAGAAAATGTTCACTGCAGCGATCAGTGATCCACAGCATCTGTTCTGTATTTATAATAAAACTGAAGTATATTTCTGTTCAGAACGAGCTCTTTGTTATTAAACCCTTTATTTAGGAGTCAAAGTTCTGATCAAACATAACTTTCATCAACAAAACCAGTCTAGTCTGAGGTCCGAAACGGTTCTGCTTTACACCCACAAAGACCAGTGATCCTGATTCTTTATCGCCTGTTCAATATAAAGCCTCCTCAGACATAAACATTATTCCTTTCCAAGTTGTTTACTTGTATAGAGACACGGGAACACTGAACACTAAAGCATTTATAAACTAGGCTAATCCTTAATGTTCTTCACTCATGGACATTCAGCAACATAAAAATTAACAAACAGAATAAAGCATTAATGAATTAAAATATCATGATTCAGTTTGTCCAACACCTTTTAAAGATCTAAAAATACTGCTCCAACTACTTTATCTTGATCAAGTGAAGATTTGCTCAATAACGAATAGAATTCAAAATCTTACTTCTAACCTACAAAGCTCTCACCAACCTAGCTCCATCTTATATTACAAATCCTATTGTTCCATATTTTTTTAACAGAGCACTTTGCTCTCAGACTGCAGATTTACAGTAGTCCCTCGTTTATCGCGGAGGATCCGTACCCTGAAGCTCCACGATAAGTGACAAACCGCAAAGTAGGAATAGTAGTACAAGTAGTAAGTAGTAGATAATATACTAAAATAGTTCACAGCTAAGCTAACACCCAGGAGCTGATCTTGTAATCTGATCTGTGAATTGAAGATTTCAGCTTCAGGTCTTCATTCAGCCAACGGCCTTTAGTTACATTACTATTACTTTTAAAACAGAGTAACTTGTAAATAATTACATTTTTTACGTTATCTTTAGATTAGGTTAAGGAACCTGCAGGAACATCTGACTAGACCAGGAAAATTCTGGTTCTGGGTCATCACGAGAGATGTTCAGATCCACAGCTTCCTGTTGTCCCCATTGCTGCATCAGAGGATGGACACCTTTCCTGATGTCCTTCTTATTGAAGACAGCAGTGCGGCAGATTGCTCCTAGTACTCTATCACCTGAGACACTTGTCCCCCAGCTCTCAGGAGACAGTGAATGTTTCACCAGAAGTTTGAAACTTGCAGGACATTTCTGAGAATCTGCTGTCTCTAAATGTTGTATAAAACTGAATTTCTACTGTTTCTGCCAAAAACTGAATGTATACAAATGTCTGAACCCAAAAGTGGAAGCCATACAGGATCAAGCGTCCCCATCGGTTGGTTCCATGTCCATCTTTTAAGTCCTGCCCTCTTTACAAACCTCAATCCAGGTTGTTCAGGTGTCAATCCTGTAGTTCTCCCCTTACTGCTACTTGTTCCCATATTCATATTCATGTTTTAAAAACATTTATCTGTAATTAGTTAGATGCCTAAAAGGAAGATCATGTGACATCAAGATTGTAGGCGGAGCTTAAAGCCCACATCACCAGTGCACAGATTCTGGTTCCAAAACTACAACATGACAGCTTCAGTAAACATGTTCATCCAGTGACAGTGAGGACAGTAGTTGTACAGAAACGATGTATATGTTCATGGTGTCAGCACAGAATGATGCTGCTTTTGTTGGCAGCGCAGTTCAAGGCGCATTTCTTCCTTTGCACAAAAGTCTTAATTTCCATGTAGACGTGAAATCTGCTGGTGAATTTGAGCTAAAGTTCCCATAAAACACATTACTTCTTGTTTTGGTCTGCTCTGATTGGTCAGCTCCAGTGGCCTGATCAGGCTCTTGCCACCACTCCACACCAGATTTGATCTGATTTGACACATTAGCTCCGCCCCTTATAACTCAGCTGGTTTATTTTCTGACTTTGTTGAGCTGAAGTTCTTTGGATCTGCTGATTTTGTCAGAGATGGGGCTGGTTCTGTTTGGTTACAGATTCAACCTGAGATTCTGGGTTCTGTTCTGGTTCTGACTGTCCTGATGAACACAAAGTTTCTGTATCTACCTGCAGCAGTGATTTTGTTTATTCTGTCTTCGGAGTGGACGATGAATCGATGCAGCTGCTGCACTCAGTGGGTTCTGGTCCAATCACAACTCTGTGTTTTCCATCAGAACTCATTACCAAGGTCCATCAGGCCATAATGGGGTTGGTGCTGACCGTCAGCATGGATCACATTACACAACAACAGACAGGAAGCAGCACTCAGAACAACTTGTCCAGAACCAGTTCAGTAAAGAATCTGATACAGTATGTGATGATGGCTGTTGTCATGGCAACAGTCTGAAACAGCAGCTTAGTTGCCAAAGGCAAGACCATCGGGTCTGTCAGACCTTCAGGGTGTGAATGTTGGTGGACTTGTTTGTGGGTCAGAACCAAGTTAGAACCATTCAGCAACTTAGTTCTCCAGAACAAGAAAATCTGAAGTCCACATCCCTGCTCAGAAAAGTTCTGTTAAAAGTGTTAACCCACAATTTCTGATCAGAACTTCTGATCCAGTCTAATAATCCAGACTGTCCTATTAGACTGGTTTTGGATCAACAGTTCTCTGGGTTTTCTGAAGTTCTTTCCAGAGTTCTGCACTCAGTTTTGGTTAATGTTTCTAAACCTTTGACTTCTGACCTCTCAGAGGATGGACCAGAACCCAGAGGATGGACCAGAACCCAGAGGATGGACCAGAAACCAGAGGATGGACAAGAACACAGGAGATGGATCAGAGTTGTGTGGATTTTTAATAATAAACTAATCAAAGGGGAACTCTTGTCTTAAGTGTCTTTGTGTCTCAGAGACATATTCTGCTCCTGGTTCTGATCCTCAGTTTGATTCTCTCAAATCCATCTCATGTAAAGTTTAATTGACCTACAAGCCTCAACTGCCCCAAACTGATCTCAACTGTCCCAAACTGATCTAAACTATTCCAAACTGTTCTCAGCTGTTCCAGACTGTTCTCACGTACTCCAAACTGATCTCAACTGTCCTATATTGTTCTCACTTGCCCCAAAATGTTCTCAACAGTGTCAAACTGTTCTCAGATGTTCAAAACTATTCTCAACTGTCCCAGACTGTTCTAAATTGTCCCAAACTGTTCTCATCTGTCCCAAACAGTACTCAACGATCCCAAACTGTTCTTGACTGTCCCAAATTGTACTCATGAAACCCGAAATTTGCTCAACTGTCCTAAACTTTTCCAAACTGTCTCAAACTGTTTTTGATTGTACTAAACTGTTCTTGACCGTCCCAAACATTTCCTGGCTGTCACAAACTACTCAACTGTCTCAAACTACTCAACTGTCCCAAACTGTTCTAGATTGTTCCAAACTATTCTCTACTGTCCCAAACGTCACTCGACTGTACCAAACTCTTTTTGACTGTCCCAAACTGTTCTTTACAGTTCAAAATATTTTTCAATTGTCCCAATTAATTGTCAAATGCTCAAACTGTACTTGGCTGTTTCAAACAGTTCTCGACTGTCCTAAACCATTCCTGATTGTCCCAAACTGTTCTTGAACATCCCAGACGGTACCTGCTGTCCCAAATGTACTCAGCTGGCCCAAAGCTGTACCAAACTGAAGTCAACTGTCCAAACTGTTTTCATCTGTCCCAAATTGTTCTCAAATGGCCCAAACTGAACTGAAAAGTCCCAACCTGTCCTGAAGGTTCCATTATCCTGAAGAGTCCTGAAGTATCTTATTTCTTGTTTATATGAAGGAACCAGCAGTTCTGTCCCTTAAAGTTTAAAACTGGTTCCAGAACGTGGTTTATAATATCTGGAATTTCAGTTTCCACAGGGTGTAGGAGCAGGTTCTCCTGAGGTTCTGGTAACTTCCTGATTCTTATTCAGTTTAATGTTGTTTAATGGTTCTTGTTGGGTTCTTTTGGTCCCAGAGTCTCTTACATGTTGAATCTACTGGGATCACAAGTTATGGAGACATTTTATTTCAGAACATTGTTAGGGAATGCTCCCTGATATTCTTAAATGTTTTTTTAACACATGTCAAACTGTCCTGAAGTGTTTTTTCTGAGAAAAAAAGTAAAAAAAAAAACAACAAAAAAAACATGTATATATATATTTATATATATATATACATTTTCTGTACAGTGCCCTTGACTTCTGTTGTGACTTGGCGCTATATAAATAAACTGAATTGAATCGAATCAGAATCGATCTCTCTCTTTTACGGTTCCAGTTCTGTCTGAGTTTGAACAGATGAAAGTTTAAAAATAATTCCTCAAGTTTGATTACTCTGATTGGTTTTACTTTTTAGAATTTAATAAAGTTTTATTGATTTGTACTAAGACTGGTTGGGTTCAGAATTCAGATTCTGGTTCTGATGTTGGTTGATGGAGGAAGAGGAGGAGACGGTGCGTGATGAAGCGAAGGAGGAAGGGGGGATGAAGAGTGTGCGCTTGAGTATTGTTTAACAAAAATGTTGTAAAACAAAACAAACATAAACATAAATAAAAGTATTGTTTATGCACTCTATAGGGGGTGACGAGGAGGAGGGGGCGAAGAAGATGAGGAGGGGGTGATGAAGAGGAGGAGGGAGGCAGTGCGGATTCTTTCCCGTCATTCCCTGCAGCAGCAGCAGAATCCTCCTCCGGTTCGGTCGGTTCTGTCGGGTCTGCGGACTCTGTGCGCCCCGCAGCTCAAGTCTGGACCCGGGTCAGGTGAGCAGCTTCTCTCCGGTTCTTCGGGGTTTTTCGTGGCGGTGATTTGAGAGGCGGACCCGGCCACTCGGTCTCCGCTAACTCGGCTCCGTGTTGGGCCAATCTCGGACCATTGAGGCCCACCGGACCCCGGTCCAAACTCGGTGTTTTCGAACTGAGGAGGACCCGGGTCCAGCTCACCTCCCCCCGGGCCGAGACTCGCTCCGTGGCCGGGCCGCGGTGATCCTTAGTCGGCCTGTCCGCCTCAGTCCCTCGGCCTGTTTCAGGCATTAGTCTGAGCCGCTGCAGACATTAGTCTGTGCCGGAGGATGGAGGAGGATAACGGTGCGCCGGGAGCGCGCAGGCGTGGCTCCGCGGGAGGAGGAGCAGCCGAACCGGACCGGGAACCGGACGGGTTGTGTCCGGTCTTCAGCCTCTGTCCCCCGGCTCTCTTTGCCTCTTCAGGCCGCAGCGCAGCTCCGCTCAGCCGGGAAGAAGTCCTGAAAACCGTCGGTACGGTTCCGGACCGAGCCTCGGTGACACCGGGTCCTGATGGGGCGGGACGTTCACGTCCCGGTTTTATTCGGTGGATCAAGTTTGTTTACCTGAAGGGATCATTGGTTCTGTCCCTCAATGTTCTAGAACCGGTTCCAGAGCCTGGTTTATGACATCTGGAACTTGTTTTTGGATCAGATTCTCCGGAGGTTCTGGTAATTTCCCGAACCTGGTTCTGATTCAGTTTAATGTTGTTTAAAGGTTCCTGTTGGGTTCTGTTGGTCCCAGTCTCCTGCATGTTGCATCTGCTGGTATCACAACCCGTGGAGACATTTTAGAGAAACTTCCCGGATTTTGGATTGTTCTCCAACTTGATGGAGTTTGGTCCAACAGAACCTCACAGGACCGTTCTCTTAGAACTTTATTCATGGAACAAACGTTCTGTAACTTAACTTTGACAGTTTTAAATGGTTGCGTGAATAACTCCAGGAAGCATTCATCTGGAGAACATCTGGTTCTGGTGCTGAGACATGATCCATTCAGTCAACCTTTATGTGTACAGGTTAATCCCATCGAGCCTCGGGGCCTCATTTACAAGAGAGACCTGGTTTAAACAAGAGTGATGTCAACAGTGGACAACAACAGACAATCATAAAGGACACATACACATTGAGAATAAAGTGAAAATAGAATGGTATTTAAAAGAAGATGTAACCAAAAAAAAACATCTAGTTTCCTTGAGCATGGACTTTGTTGTTAACAAACAGCTAGGTTGTAAGGCGATGTAGATCCAGAACCCAAGACAGTTGTGGCCCAGAAGACAAGCAGAACCTTAACTTCCTGTTTGGGGTGGAAGGTTCCTCTGAGGTGTCAGAACCTCCTGCAGGAACTCATGGCTCTGCTGATGTTCTGAAGTAGATTGTAAATAAAGGGCAGAGTGGGCTGTTTCTGGAATCGGAAGTGACCTTATTTGGGCAGGAGGGCGGAGCTTTATAGGGAAACTCGTGTAGATGTTTGAAAGGTTTTTAGATTTGTTCTGGATCAGCAGCCGGGTTCTGTTGGTACTTCTTCAGTTTTCAGGGTTATTTTATAAACAGCAGAGTCTGATGTTTAACTGTCTGTTCTGAATAGTTTATTTTATGCTGCTTTGAAAATGTTTTTTCTCATGAATCAAAAGTTTTATTGAGTTAGAGACGGCTGTTTCCCCTCCACCGCCGGGTGTTCTACTCCACCCTCAGCTGTTTTCTCTCCATCCTTGGCTATTTCCCCTTCACATTTGGCTGTTTTCCGTTAACACTCAGCTTTTTCCCTTCCACCCTCGGCTGTTTCCCCTTCTCCTTCTGCCATTTTCCCTCCACCCACAGCTGTTTCCCCTCCACCCTCGGTTGCTTTCATCCCGCCCTTGGTTGTTTTCACTCCACCCTTGGCTGTTTCCCCTCCACCCTCGGCTGTTTTCCCTCCACCCTCGGCTGTGTTCCCTCCACCCTCGGCTGTTTTCCCTACACCCTCGGCTGTTTTCCCTACACCCTCGCTGTTATCCTTTCACACTCTACTGTT